AATTTCAAAAGAAATAATATCGTAACGACGCAGTTTATTATTTTTTACTCGCAGATTACCGTAACAATTCTATTAAACTTAATACAGATTTACTTGGGATTTACTTTAATGTATTCCTTTAATACAGATTTAGATTTGCAGTTTTCATTTACGGAGGGTTTGTATTCTTAAGGGGAATCGTGGCAATGTGGCGAATTGCTTAGGTTTTGCTTAGGGTGGTGAAGAGAAGTGTTTTCAACCGAATCGATTAGCCAAAGAAATAAAATCACGTAGCCCCTTCGCAAGATAAATGATTGGCTATGGGACGAACACTAAGAAAGGAAAACAGCGTTGTTATTCTGACCGCACGCACGCTATGCGTACCCACAACATAAGATTAAATCTGTGATTATTTAGGGTCACAAATTAACTGTTTCAAAAAGTTTTATATCCTTCTATAATGTTTTGCTTACTTCAAAGAATTAATTAATTCCATTAAAAAGTACTCCTTTATCGTCTGTTAACAATTAAGTACCCTCCATTTTTTTCTTTGGTCCCTTTGGCCTTGCAATTGCTTCTTTTATTAATGTTTAGCAAAAATTGCCGTTGACTACATATTTAACATAATACTTCTAAGTTTATTGCAAGACATATCAAACCTATTTCTAACTTTATGAAGTGCCTTTCTAACATCAACATCACGAGTTGTTCGATAATTGCAGCTAAATATGATAATTTCCCTCCACATTTAAACCTTAAGATATAAAAAGCGACCACATTGACCAGTTGTGGAATATTTTGAATACCTGTGGAGTCATTCGAGAGCTAAATTAAATACAGAACAATTTTTCAAACCACACCTCAAACTATTTTCAATGTTTTTACTGATTGCACTAATGAGATGTTCAATATCATAGCGAGATATAGTAATTTGAACGATTGATTTATGCACTCGGTTATTTTATATGTTGACGAGTAAAAAAAGTAAATGGCTTACAAAGACTTAATTATAGAGATTTCAGTTTCTCTGATTGCAATTTAGATTTAAGTCGAATGACAATTGAATAGAGGATGACATACTTCGTAATCTCGACGCAAGTTATCTACTCTATAGATCGCAATTATACCTTTATAAATAAGATGTTGCTATTAATAAATGCAAAATTAATTTAAATTCTATCCAATTTTATTGTAAGATTTTTATTTTGCTGATAATCTTATGAAATTTTTGATGCTTCTGTTAAAATTCATGAAAATCCTCTTAAAATTCCTCATTAGTTAATCATTTCTGAAAACTTTAAAATATCCTGGCAAAGTTATTAATCCATGGAAATAATACGAAATCCCTGGATAACCTTGGAAATTCATAAATTCTCTGGAGATCTCCTGAAAATCTTCATCGTTAATAATTCCTAATCACAAATTCGTAGTTATCCTTTAAAAGTTTTGGAAATAACTGGATAACATTGTAAATCTTTAGAAATATGTAAAAATTCATGGATAACTTGTGAAATTGTACCAAAAAATATTATTGCAAATTCCTTATAAAACTCTGGAAACTTTCTAGAATTACAAGGAAATCTTTATAAATCGTGATATTTGTAGAAATCCTATGGAAACTTTTTAAAATTTTAGACAATTTTCTCGAAATCCATGTAAATAATTTCTAAAGATGCAAAATTTATGTACTTGGTTTGTATGTGGTCTAAAACAACGTGATGGGCTATCTCATGCTTAATCCAGCATGTACTCATTATCTCCAGGGTAGAAGCCGAAGATGGTACACTACGATGTGTTAAAACACACGGTAAGGTAATAAATCGGAGATCGGCAACGAATTAAGTTTTGTGTAACTTGCGTTACAGCAGGACAGGTCTGCAGAAAAAAATCAAGGAAGTGGAGCACAGACCACTTCCTTGCTTTTTTTTCTGCTTTTCCATGACGAATGCACACCTAACCATCTTTATAAGAAGCAAGTATGTGAATGCTGTCCTTGACAGGATGCAGGAAGCACTCTATATAATTGAGAGTTGGTGGAATACACAACTTTTTTCTGCCAAACCCAAGTAGAAGAAATGTTTTTTTATATGTATGCATATAAACGTCATATTCTGTAAATTCTTTCCAAAACTGTACTTAAACTATCTACATAAGTTAAGTGCTTAGGTTGAATAGCACTTAACGTAATGATATATAATAAATTGATAACTATAGTAGTCATAAGGACTTAGATTTTGTATTCCAAGGTAGCTCACTGAATCTGCATTGCCGTCATTCCACCGATACTAGCTTGTGGTGCAGAACTTCAATCCACCGCCACTGCATTATTTAATAGATACAATCATGTTTATAATAATGCTTAATTTTAATTAGATAACTTCGCGATTTTATGCATCTTCAGTAAGCTAAATTACGCAATATTTTTCGTTATTGAGTGCCTTGGTGTTATCACCTTTTTCATTAAAAAAACAGGTATTATTAGAAAATTGATCATGTGGCGTTTTCATGGGAGGTTAATTTACTTTGTACGAAAGAAAGAACTTTGTCTTTCAAACCAAATACGTTTATCACCTACTTAATTTAAGAAAGAAATCATAATAAAGTGACTTCTTGAGCATGTTATATTTTGCGAACTTTATTAACAAGTTTTAAACTTTTATTTTAAAAATATCTGTACGAGTTTCATGTACCTACGTATGGTTATGTGTTAATAAACTACTACAGATAATTCAATGTAATTGGCAGTATTTAACTAATATTGTATTTTTAATCGATTGTTATAAATTCTCTTGTTATACATGATGAAATTAAGTACAAAATAGATAAACCACATTTTTTTAATGTTTGAACCAACTTTTTTTTTCGGTTCCTGTTTAACAGTTTATTTATCCCTTCAGGATAATTTCACCGTCCCAATGCGCGAAGGAATTTAATGCAATGAAATCTAAATAATTTTGTTGTATGGTCATTTAGCAGCTACTGAAATCCTGACTAATGCGGCTTCCTCACCGTCTAATGCATCAAATGCATTTAGAATTTTCTCGATGTTGATGGCATAGCAGTATGCCGCCTCAATCTATTTTGCTCAGAGTGTTATTAGTGGTTACGAAAGATGTGGAAATCGGGCGATAAGTCGTTTGTAACGTTCATTTCTAGCGAATAAATATTTAAAATTAGAAACTCCATAATTCATTTGTTCAGAAAAATGATGTTTTGATTGAATATTTTGCTAATCTAGACGAAGCTATTGAATTTCTTGTCCAATTTATCCATCGATTTATTAGGTCTCAGAATGGATAAAGATGTTTGGATAAGATAATCTTGTAAACAGCCTCTTATAAATGCTTTATAGTAAAGTACACAACTTGGTAGAATTATTTAATATGCTATTTTATGTAATTATTTTAAGTAATATTTTATATCCTTCATCAAAATATTTATAGATAGCACCAACAAAATAGGTCATAATCATCAATATAAATATATGTCCTAGCAGATCCGTTACTCTATATATATGTGTGATCAATATTGATCTTGAAAGGGGTAAGAAAGGCACTTTCACGCTCTTTTACCATCGAGACAGACGCCCAAACGATCTCAGCTCGCACAAGAAGCAAATATTTGTGCTCCTTGGGCATTGTGGCGGTTCATTACTGTCTCATCTATTTCCATTAGGGCAGTCGACGTCGCTCACGGCTGTATAAGTGCATCTAAAAGTGCCTCTCGCCGCACGCAAATCCTCCGACCGAGAATGTCTTTGATCTGTCAGATATGATTTGTGATTTTCCAAGGAGGTAACACCCTTTTCTGCAAAGAAAATTTACATTCAAAACTTACAATTTAGTAACCCTTCATTATAACAATCACAAAAAATTTATTTCAACTTCAAAAGTTGTTTGTCTATGATGAAGTCATCAAATCCTTGGGTGATTAAACGTGTAAGTATAAGTGCTATAAGTCATAATGGCCCCTCTAAGACATTTGTCATTTTGTTAGATACAGAAAAATAATCGAAACGCATTAATCGTCCACGAAGTCGACGTAGCGAGTTTGGTAAAACTTTAGGGAGAACTAAGAAGCCACCGCGTAAAAGCACGCGGCAATTTTCTTTGGACGCCGCCGACAGAGGACAAATGCGACGTCATCACTCTTCCAAATTTGTACACGCCAACAATTAAAATAACGAACGGCCCCGACATCGCTTATGATATATTATTCCAAGAAACGAAACGATACACCGCCGACTTCTAATTGTGTGGGAAGCAACCTTCCCTCACTCACTAGGAGGAGTAGGAGGAGGAGGAAGAAACCATGGAAGAAGAAAGAGAAAAGAAAACCAAAGAACATCGCGGCCTTATGTTAATAACGACCCCTCGGTTCGCCTGATTGTCCCTAACGATAATGATAACGAGGACGAACACGGTACGTCACGACGAAAGAAGTATCTGGTAATAACCGCTAAGTGGGTTGGTTGCGAAACAACAACTCAAATGGGCGCACATAAATAATTGCAGAGAACCGAGGGTGTAATTAAGTTATTGGTAGAGAAAAGGAATTGGTTTTCAGGTAGATACGGTAGTATCTACAATGAAAGTACTGGTTATTAGACGGTTATTAGAGGCGAATGTAATGGAGCTTTTGTTTTACGTGAGCTAGACAACTAATAATTTTCTAAAATTAGTTACTTAATAATATAGAGATATTTTCAGGAATCATGGAAAACGTTATAAATAATATTTTTGTTTCCCACAATTATTTTCAAGCGTATATTGAATCATTGATATTAAATAAATACAGTTACCGTTACTTTAACCCACATCGCCATCTTTGGTTAAGCTCCAATACTATATACCTAAAACTGAAACCACCCTATTTATAGCAACCCTTGTGTGATATAGAGTTCTGTTGGAAGCGTCCCGACGACCCTATTCGCTAGTTTCAAGCGTCGCCGTTTAGATGGCGCCTTAAACAGCTTTTAAACTTGTTCTAGGTTCGCGAAGAAGTTCGGAGGCAGTCATCGCACGACTGTATGCGAACGCAGCCGCGTTGCGAACGAAACGAAACCTTCGGAACACACGTGTGCAGCGCGATTTTCAGCGATTGTCATGTGAGAGCCACGCGGGACCTTTACGGATTTATTATTTACGGGAACGTTTATGTGCCGTTTGTGCATGTATTGCTGCATGTCGTTCCCTAAGGCAACTGAAAAGACTGAAAACCGGTGTCTCTTTTACGAGGTACAACGTGGTAAGTGTTAAAAAAACTCAAGAGAGATTTTTTGTCTTTTCTCATTGTTTTATTGCTTTAATCGATAAGTAATTTGACTTTTTTGTGTTTCATTTTGAACATTGTTGAAATCGAACAAGAAGTTGTAGCTTTTTGTTTACATTCAGTCTCAGAGAATACTAAATATTTACCCGAAAGGGGTTTGTTTAAGTTTCATTCGTATTAAATCGCAGGACGTCGGTCGTAAAGTATGAACACGCGTGTCCGACGTGAAAAGACGGCAGCTTTAAGGAGCAACTAACTGGGAATGACGCTTAACAGCACCGCGACGTCTTTTTGTGATGGTAAACATCGGGAGTTTAGGTATTTATAACAACGCGCTCTGACTTCGCATCTGTTCCCGACTGAATAATTATCTTTAGATGCTCTCTCGTTTCTTAAGAGGTAAATGAACGCTACGTAATTTTTTAACGTTATTATTGAATTGAATTAAAAAATAAACACGTTAATCATGTTTTTGCTTGATTCATTATCGTTTCGTGAAAACTTTTTACTGGAACTGAACAATTACTCTTCTAGACATCAAAACAAAGCAATTTTTCAGTAGTACGAGAAATGATAAATCAGCTATCCTTTTTACTCGAACTTTTCAACGAGAGTATATTTTATTGTTCGACCATCTTGTACAGAGTAGCGAGAGGCCATAAATCCGATGACCTCATGTATTATGCACGCGAGTTCTTTCGCCGTATCAGCGATTTTCTCGTAGCACTTCGGCGGCCGCACACCGCCGCCCCACTTTCGAACTCCTTAAACATTATGAATTTTAATAAAAGGCGTTTATTTATGGCAGTTCGGCGAAAGTTCGGGTACGGCCCATTGGGCGGTCAACGTTTCGCGAAATTACATTGATCAGCGGAGCTGGAATCATCCTTAACATCCATTTATGTTAAGAACTTGCAATTTTCCTAAGCAATAGATACAATCGCTTCGGTACGAGTCGTATGTGCATGGAAAATTAGCGTCCCGGTGAATTACTCTGGCGACTTGAACGCTCACAAAGGAAATGCAAATGGGGCAATTTTCGATTTAGTTGCTCTTGTACGAAACAGGGGACAACAGCCGCGGGTCTGTTGTATGCTAATTGGAAGCCGCAATTGCTTGGTTTTTAATTGGGTTACTTGTGAGAATCTTAGAATCAACGTCTTGAAGGCAACGTTGAAGTTAAAATAGCCTGGCAATTACCTAATTTCCATTCAGAAAGGACCATTTAACAATTAGAATAATTTCTTGAAATTTAAACAAACAATTTGTTTAATAGTGGATACATATAAATAAAGGGAAATGGTTTATATTAAAATAACTGTACTATGGAATATTTATGGAATATTTATGTTGACGATGCAATATGAAAGAAAGAACCATCACATCCATTCTTGCAGATGCAGCACATTAATCGACGTATATTTACTGCGCAAGCCACTAACGACAACCACGTGTTATTTGGGCGGTGCCCAGTAATTAAACAGCCATAAATCAGGCGACATTAGCATGCGGTGTTTATCGTCCCGAACGTAAATATTCATAACCCCCTCGAAGTCGCACATCGTTCAGCGGCGGCGTGGGTTCGCTATTCTATCTGTGTATACATAATTATTAAAGTGATATAATTCTCCCCCGTAATTACCTGCATATAAATCGGACTTGGTTGCGACGATTAATTCGATTTCAATTAGATGGCACAACGAGTCATTACTGATCGGATAGTGTCGTTCTAGGGCGAAACGTTATTAATAGTCGTTCATTGTTATTGAGGTCGGGCGCTAATGGGAAATTACATATTATGGCACCCACGCGGTCGCTAACCGATCGACCGTTTATGGTATTACTAATGTTACCGTCAGCGTGTGTGTATGTAACGCGTTTATCATCGCGATAAGTAATACACTTGAGACGTTTACACACACACTCAAACGGACATAGAAACACGTACAAAGCTATATAAGCCGTTGTTCGAACAAAGACCAGTTGACACATGTGCGCCAAGATATGTACTTGTTTATGTTTACTTTTTTTCTTTCTGTACTCTGTTACATCGTGTACCACGGTAGTTTTTATTGTCGTGATATAACCGTTTCCGTGACTTGGCTGTTAGAGATTCATAAGTGTCAAATAGTACATGCAACGAAGTCGTGTTACCCACCAGTGTTTAATAAATAACGTACCTATTATTAATTGGTTATCCAAATTTACCTTGACGATATACTACATATTCAGTAGTTCGTTAAGCTATATTATAACTCCGTTAAGCTCCGGTGAGCGAAAATGTTCAACGTCATCGACTCCAAAACCTAAACCTAAGCAAGTTAGATAGGGATTAATATTCTCGCTGGACGGTCGCAGTATTGAATTACTTGAAGTCGGCGCCTCCGGGGCTTACATCCCAGGAACGAATAGCCGAAGTGGCTCCTCGACGAGTTCTCCTCAAAACTCATTACATTATCTGGGAGAAAGAAGTGCAGAAATAGAAATATGAATAAACCAGGTCACGTTGTTGACTAGTGTCCCCAGAGAACGAATGGTTGGGGCGTCGCGAAGCTTGCCCTTCAACGAGTCTCCAGTTTTCTCCGTAGATATTGGAATCGTTCGGATGTACTTTTAATTTCTCAAGGATTACTACGAGATATTTAATCGTTTAAAACGAGTTCAGCGATCTCGTTACATTATAACATAACCATCTCTTTTATATTATTAAATCCGATGGAAGAACAAGTTTTAATTAAATGCATCCTTTAAGACACCACGTCTGGTAAAGATATGCATATCAATTCCCACATATCCGCCATCGGAACCGTCACGTACATGCACTTCCTGCACCGTTTTAATCCGCACGCCCGCGTGAAATACCAATCGTTTTCTAAGAATAAACACCAACGCTTCCAAGAATCCTGCTGATATGTACCCATAACGTGTTTAAATTTACATAATGAATCCGCAAATATCTCAGAGGGAAAATTTTCACACCTTCATGATTACCCGCTAATTACTAAGAAGCACACGCGCGCCTCTATGTCAATAGCCAATTAGCATCGGATAGTAATAAAGTGTTCATGCCAACGTTCGCGCTACCACAAAAGAACTCGCCGGCTGTTTATGCTGCGATAAACCGAACGAATGTGCGTCAGATGCCGCACACTGTTTGGATAAGGGTTGTAATTTTGTTCGTGCTGAGGTTCTCAATGGTTCCTGTCGCTTTTGTTAGCGCTCTACCAAAATAAATTGGATTGTATTTGCTCGGTCGTTGCTTTTTGATACAGATTTTTACATTACTGCTACGTATTCTTGATGTTATTACTTACCATAATCAAAAGGCATAAATTTTGGAATAATAAAAGGTTTTCGTTTAGAATTTTTTCTCGTACTTATATATAGTGATACTAATGATAATAAAACTTAGAAGGAATATTTTTATTGTGTTATGAACTTAAATAGAAATAAGGCAAACAAATACAAACAAATTTAAATTGGTCATTATTTATAAGAGAGATTGCAGAATGTGGTTAGTAGAAATAAAATCGTTTATATAAGTCACTTGAAGATATCGTAAAAGGGGAGGAAACAAGTATGAATATTAAATGAGGAAAACTTGATATTCAATTTCCTATGGCAAAATTCATTACCTGTACTTAGGTAAGGAGTTATAGGATCAAGTAGAAACAGATTCAATTCTTTTTATAATTTTACTTTCCAGTACAATTAAACAAAAGTTATACATGGCACTTTTCATCAACTTTGACACTATTTACTTCGAATAACATAAGCAGTCACATTCATCTTGTAGTAGTAAGAACTAACAATGTTAATATAACTAATATTATTCAAGTTAAATATAAGTCTTGGGAAAGAAGTCGTTGTAGACTGCGATGAATGGTTTTCTTATACAATTGATAGAGATCGGTTGATTCACACATGCGTTCATGAAACTTTTTAGTTTTCATTATGACATTTTTGTTCATTTATTTCTCAGTTTCATAGGTTTAGCCATCTTACTTATTAGCATTTATTTGTAGTTTTCTTATTGTTGAAGTTAGATCATAAGCTTTTGTGAATAGGACTGTGTCGTTAGCGATAATATCGTTGTCAATGATTTGGTTGAAAACGTGCACATACATATGTATATTAAAAAGGTTTGGAGATAGGACGCTTTCTTGAGGAATACCTACCAATGTCGAATAGGTGATTCCATAGAAAAAGTTCTATTAGTTAAGAACGATAAAAGGATTGACTTGACATATTGAGCTTGAGAATTTTGTATTTTAGTCCATCCAGCCAATTTCGATGAAAAGCTTGTGCGATGCCCAGAAAAAGAGTAGCTCTATACATTTTCTTTTCAACCCCATCCTCTATTAGGTCAACCAATCTCTGGAAATAATGACTTGTAGAGGGGCCTTGTTTGAAGCCGAATTGGAAAGGTGGCAATACTTTCTGTTCATTTAGTTCATCAAGTAATCTTATTTGTACATTTTTTTCTAAAAATGTTGACAGGCTACATAGTAGCCTAATCAAGGGTTTGATTTGTTTTTACCAAGTTTGTGAAATAGTAAGATATAAGCATGCCTCTATACTTCTGGAAAGTACCCAATCATTAGACATGCATTGAATAGGCTTGCTAAGAAAGCATAATATTTACTCGGGAAGTTCATGAGAATTATATTTGTTATAAGGTCATAGCCCAGAGCTTTTTTCTTTGGTAAAGATCTAATTATTTGTTGCGTTTCTTTAGGGGACGTTGATTTCATGTCAATCTTACTATTTGATACATTTTTCTCAACATATTGCATTAGAAATTAGAAATGATGTGGTGGACACTTGTTTAAGGAAGTTTAAATGTTAATAATAATAATGAGTTAAAACAGCGTGGAGAATATATTACTAACAAATACTTTTTTATAATGTCAATAAGAAGATTACGACTCGATTGTATATTAACTAGTTAAGTTCTCGTTAAGTAAATATTGATA